AGCAACCCCATCCTGTAAAATTGAACACTGCTTCAGAAACTTCAAGCTACTAGCTTGAAGTCCTATGTTCCACTGGGGAACGTGAAGGAAAAAAAGTCAGTCAAAAAAGAGTGACTTTACTAAGCATGAAAAAAAGTGAAAGGTTGGACTTGAGGCCAATAACACCAACCTGTAAAACATACGACTGTATTTACACAAGCTTCAAAGGCTGGAGGCGTGTATTCCACTCGAAAAAAAATGAGCGCAAAAGGAAATCCTGGTACAAGAACGATTTCATTGAATTAACTGACGGAATATACAGACATTGGATCACAGGAATTATTAAAAAAAGATGGTTGCAGCAAGGAAGAAAAGCTTTCCTTTTCGATGAAGTCATCGTCACCTAGACTGCTGTACATTCGTGTATTTATAATAATAAATGGATGGGAAAGTTCCAGAATAATTTCCGGTCAAGCCTCAGATTAATAGAATTACAATTAGGAATTAAAATGCCATAATAAACAGGGTGGTGGGACAAATAAAGCTCAGACAAAGTGGCACCATAATTACGGAGAAGATTGACATTGATTGTGCAATTAGGGGTTAGAAATGTAGAAATAACAAAATAGATAGACAGGATGTTTGGATCACAACTAATGTGACGAATAATTGTTTGTACAATCAGGGATTAAATATGTAGAAATTATAAAAATGACAAAATAGGCAGGAAGTTAGGATATGAAAGGCAATGGGATGGTCATTACTAAACGAATTAGCTGTTTATGATGGCCATGACAGGGACAAGGATTGGACGTATTTCTTTTGGATATATAACGTGGGTTTGAGCTTTTGGATAGCTAGTGCCTCGGCTATGCCCAAGTGTCTTAATTTCACTCCCTTTGACAGGTTTGATCGAATCTTGTATATTATTTTGAAGGATTTCTCGAATGGCACTGAATGTCCTGAGTTGACCAGATTTTATGTCACTGAACCATATACATGTTTTCGATCTCCTTATACTAGTCAGGCTGTATAGTGTTCATGAGCGCGTTTTTCAAGTTGGCGCATGGTACGGCCGATGTACTTAGCTCCGCCAGAGAGCAAGTAAACTTGTATATGCACATTGAAGTGGCCCAATACGACAGCTTGTCTTTCGAGTTCTGGCTGATGAACAGTTTCTTGAAGGAAAACGCCAGTCATAGGCTCGCGGCGAAGTATGTTTTCCTCAGAGATTTGGAGAGGCGTTTACGAAGGATTTTCGCTTCAGTGTCATGTTTGAATTCTAGATTATGCAGAAGTATCTTCTTCGGGATGGATTGAACTTGTTCGGAAGTCTGCCTTGATTCGAACTTTCTCTCTTTGATCCAAACTTCCTGTCTATTTTGTCATTTTATTATTTCTACATATTTATTCCCTGATTGCATAAACAATTATTCGTCACATTAGTCATGACCCCACTAGATTTTGTAATACAAACATCCTGTCTATCTATTTTGTTATTTCTACATTTCTAACCCCTGATTGCACAATCAATGTCAATCTTCTCATTAGTTATCATGCTACTTTGTTTGAGTGATTTTTGATCCATCCTCCTGTTTATTTTTGCATTTTAATTCCTAATTGTAATTCTATTAATCTGACACTTAACCGGAAATTATTATTCTTGAACTTTCCCATCCATTTATCATAAATACACGAATGTGCAGCTGTCTAGTTGACAGTGACTTCGTCGAAAAGAAAATTTTCTTCTCGTGAGGTCTGTGACCCAGGACCTCTCGGTTAGAAGACAACCTCTACCAATTTCTTGATTGTAGCCTGACCACAAGCCGTCAAGCTGATGCTTCTTAGTGACTGAATGGTTTACGAATATGCCTTGTTACCGAAAAGTCCTTGGGTTAGAAACTCAATGGGTGCATACTGCTGATGAGCCGCCTCTGACTGCGGCGAAACAACTGTCCAGTATTTCCTGTGGCTGGTTTTCAGTGGTTCTATAACTCAAAATTGAAAAAAATTCAAATCCTTACAAACAAAAAACTATTGAAAACACCATTTATTTAAATATTGGCTAAAGAAACCAGTTGAGTGGCATTATTGCATTTCATAATATCCATAATATGGTGAATAAAGTAACCAAGATGTGAAAAACCGATGATAACAGTCGAGAAATTTATTTCAGAAACACATTTTTGGCTTAATTATCAACTAAGATTGTATAAGTGAGTCGGATTATTATTTATATTATTATTATTACTATTACTCTATTAGGTTCCGAGAGGAACACAGGGGGCTGCAACAGCCCATCAGCATTTATTTTAGTTATAGCTTGACTCCACACAGTATTTTTGATATATGTATGAAATTTTCAGCATGTGATATCGGTAGCCCAAATTGTTTTGCAGGCCGACCATTGATATCGGGTGTGTGCGTTGGCCGGGAGGGGGGTCGAACCCCTGGACCATGTGCATGGTCGGCGAGCGTCCTAGTCGCTGTGCCACCAACGCACATCCCGATTCTCTTCGGTCGTCTGCAGCTGAATGAATGCCTACGCATAGAGATTCTCATCTCCTCTTCTTCACACACACACACGATCTCCTCCATGTCACCCAGGGATCCAAGCCTAACTCAATGTTTACGATTCGCAGGGTTCCACTCAAGGCTCATGCCATTATTTTACTTTCCAACCTTTCTTTTCTTTATCTCAATAGGAGTTTTTGAAAGACAGAAATGAAGCGAATGTTTTGAGTGAACACTAGTCAGTAACTAGTGTGATGTATCTAATCCTCTGTTTTTGGTGCAGACTGAATTCTATCAGTCAGTCAGCCAGGTTTGCAATGTGGTCACCATTCCACTAGGTGGCTAGCTGGCCGTCACGGTGCCCACATTGATTTGATGATATTAGATGGTTGGAGGCGATCGACAGGAGGCTTTGAACCTAGGTTTCGTGCTAGTTGGCACTCAACCGTCAGCAAGGCGTATCTACAACCAACTTGAAGGAACAGCTCATGTCCCACCCATCTGAGATTCGAACCCGCGTCACCCAGTGAATACTGCAGTCAGAGACGTTACCATTGAGCCAGCTATTCTAGCTCACTGGCGATTGACCTCCTGTAGGACTGTAGTGGATATTTTGATTGGACACTAATCAGAAACTAGTGTGATGTGTCTAGTAGTCTAGCCGATTGCCTCCAACCATCATCTAATATCATCAAATCATTGTGTGCGCCGTGTGATGGCGAGCTAGCCACCTGGTGGAATGGTGGCCACATTGCAAACCTGCCTGGCTGACTGACTGATAGAATTCAGTCTGCACCAAAGACAAAAGACTAGACACATTACACTAGTTACTGACTAGTGTCCAATCAAAACATTCGCTTCATTTCTGTTTTATGTCTTACATATGATGGAGAAGATTTGTAGCTCAGTTGGATGATTTTGATGTTGTTGTGTTCTCTGAGCTGGATAGTTAATTTGCGAAGCTTTCATCACCCTACTGGGTGACATCTTCAGCGCATACTTCAATTTCAATTGAAGTGAGCTTTTAGATTTCTCCACGAGTGAGTTTATTAATCATCTCTCCTGGTCGGTGACCACCTTGAACGTGATTCTTTGGTTCATTTTGTGTGTTTTCGCACCTTCTAGGCTACTTGTATTAGGATTGATTGTTTCTTTGACTTGAACTTTGACCCTTTGTGTGTGTGAGGTTTCTTTCTTATCGGTTGATAAATTTTGTCTATCTCGATGTGTCTATTGATTGATGATTCACTGGAATACCAGGTAGGCTTCTAAAAATTCTCTAGCATTCTTGGTGTTGTTTCCTCTGTCTAATATTTGAACGTTGGTTGTCCCAGTCGAATTGATGTCCATGGTTGTCTGTATGCAGTGAGGTGATATGACAATGATATAGACAATGAATCCACAGTTCGTTATTATTTCTTAGCGTATTGGTAATGAAGCGGTAGAATACTCTCCAACTACTCCACACATGGTCCAGAGTTCTATCCAAGGTGAACATGCTGTTAAACTTCACTCAGACTGTAATAAGCAGGGCAAAGAGGAAACATGCATCAGGCATGAGGTTAGTAATCCGACTCAGTAGAAATTATACAACACTTTGAATGAGACCTACATAGACAAGACGGAGGTTATGAAAATAACCAACCAACAACAACAGCAACAACATCAGCAACATCCAGCGCCAATCACCATCAACCGGAGGGATTTGAAAGAGGTTACTTCATTCATTCACTTATCTAGGGAGCATTGTCTCAACTACACGAGGAACGGACGAGGATGTCAAATCGAGAATCGGGAAGGCAAGAAACACATTCATCAACCTGAAACCAATCTGGAAATCTTCGTCACTCAGCAACACTCAACAACAAAATGATTCGGATTTTCAATACAAACTTCAAGTCAGTCAGTTCTTCTATATGGATGGATCAGAAACTTGGCGGGTCACAAAGAATATTTCCAACAGCCTGTTGCAGACCTTTATCAACAACAACTGTCTTCGCTGGCATCATACTGAAGATCAGATGGCTGGAAAGAATCACAAACAAGAAGCTATGGGAAGAAACAAAACAAGAACCAATCGCTCAACAAATATGCAGGAGAAAGAAGTGGAGATGGATCGGACACTCGCTGAGGTGGCCACTCGGTGGGTGACATCGCGCGTCAGGTCATCGCTCGAGTGGAACCCGATAGGGAAGCGGTGAGTAGTGGGATGTCCAAGGGTGAGATGGAGGAGATCGTGTGAAGTGGAGTTGAAACAGTATGGACTAACATGGATGCAGGTGAAAAGTACAGCAGAAGACAGAAGCAGCAAGTGGAGACATGTAGTTGAAGCCCTATGTTCCACTAGGAACCCAAGGGAACAATAATAATAAAAATTGAATGAGACCTTGAAAGGTCAAGCGTGAAATCCTATGTTACACTGTGGATGCAAAGGAATGAACGTTTGTGTTTTGTTTGTTGTTTTGTTTTTAAAAAAAGAAAAATGATTAATAACAGCTCAAACTCACCTTAAATATAAGATCTAAGCAACAAGTGTACGAAAACCAAGGACCTTTTAGATCTAGTTGTACATTCCCGTTCCAGTCTTTCAAGGAGAATGTATGACCAAGTCGTCCATAATTTTGAACAATACTTCCTAAGGATTCACCGACTGGAGCTTCAACTTTCATTTCCTAGACAATAGATGGGTGTACATAGAAGTATTAGTAATAGTGATAATAATAATAAAAAATCTACTTCATTCCAAAAACATCACTACTTATAATTCAGAATGGAATTCTCAGCTCTCGTCACAATATTCCATCTGATTTACTCCAGATATAAATAAAATTAAAATTAAATGGACTCACACAAAAAACTTGGAGGATCTGGACTTCGCCGATGATATATGTCTGATTCCACACAAACTGGAAGATATGCAAGCGAAAAGCAACAAGTTGGCAGAAGAAGCATCAAAGATAGGATTTCAGGTGAACATAGAGAAAGCAGAGGTGATGAAGATTCCTGGACAAGAACAACAACAGACAACAATCAGCCAGCATAAATGGGAGGAACCTGGAAGAATCAACCTCTTTTACCTACCTGGGAAGCATCGTTTCAACAACAGACGAAACTGACGAGGATATCAAAGCAAGAATCTGAAAAGCAAGACAAGCTTTCACTACTCTCAAGTCTGTGTGGAGGTCAACACTCAGCACTAATTGGCATGAAAAATAAGATCCGGATTTTCAACTCCAATGTGAAGTCAGTCAGCGCTACTATACGGATCAGAGACTTGACCAGCGCGTCATAAAGAGCACCCCAAACAAACTACAGATCTTCATCAACAGCTAGATGTCTTCGCTCAATACTCGAGATCAGATGGTCGGCCGGCCGGAAAAGATCAGCAACAAGAATCTCTGGCAATGAGCGAACAAACACAGCAGGAACCGATTGTGAAACAAATAAGCACGAAGAAATGAACGTGGATTGGATTGTGGCCATACTCCGAGGAAACAAACCATCAAGTGACATCACTAGACAAGCCATTGCTTGAGTGGAAACCGAAAGGGAAGCGGCGAGTTGGTTGTCAGCGTGAGGGTGTGTGACTTGGGTGAGGAGGTCATGTGAAGAGGAGATGAAAGTATGTGGGCAGACTTGGAGCCGAGTAAAGACTCTAGCGGAGAATCGAACGAAATGAAGACGCACGGCTGAAGCCCTATGTTCCTCTAGGAATTAAAGGAAACAATAATATAATAATAATAATAAAAATCAAAACAAAATTAACCAGAGTAATTTGTCCACATTTACGATATAAAGTCAAAAATATTCGAAGTGAGAATCGAGAATATTAAATATAATAATAATGATAATAACAGTGAGTTTGTTTCAAACATTATTAGCGATTCAGTTTGAAAGTTTTAGCATGTTATAGAGGCATTGAGTCTAATGTTCTGTTGATGTAGCAGCGTTGCGAGGGGAAATACAAAATAAACAGTTATAACACAGCTCAAATGATGTTCACACTTATGAAAAAATTAATAAATATAAACAAAAAATCGAGAGGATTATAAATATAAGAAATACAATAACAATAAAGCATGATGCTTTAAGAATGAAGGAAACGGTTTATTTAGGGGTGCTAAGAAGGTTCGTTAGTTCATGTCTAACACTATTTTCATCACATAAAATACGTGCTGGCAAATATGGTATAGTGGAATTTTAATACTTAGACGTACGTGCATAAAGTCTTCTAAAAAGACTTCTGGTTTTACCTGAGGAGGAGACAAGCTTGGAGCTGCAGGTGTTGTGGTGGATGCTCACAGTTTGACAAAATTCCTTTAGCAAATTTGTTGCATGACATCAAGTGCCTGTCAGTGACAATGTTAACGATTTGGTCAAATGGGACACTACTCGCCCTACTGACCGACTGACAGTCTTCACAGTTCTACGAAGTATGACATAGTCTTTCCTTTAAGCAATCCAGGAGAGAATAAGCAGGCGTGAACAGTAAAGAAGAAGAATAGGTAAGATGCGCACGAGTTGACAAACTGTAAGAGGAGGAGGGGTTGAGTTATGCCTGAGTGCCTTAACTTCTTAATGTAAAAAGTCAGACGAAATATTGTTTTAGAAATCGCTAAAACATGGGAAGACCAGGATAGGTAGATCAGTAGAAAGAATTAATCCAAGATACTTAACTTCAGACTTGATTTCTTTATCAGTATCATCAATTTTGCAAGGGTCATAGGAACCAACAGCTTCATTTAACTTTCTTTTACATTGTAAACTGAAATTAACAGTCTGACATGTGGAAGGATTTAGCTTTAGACGAAGACTATTTGCTAACTCCTCGTAGAAATGATAAAATTATCAATTATACGCGTTGAAACGCAACAACAGTCAGATTAATATAACCAGCACGCATTCACTACACTATACATTATCTGACAAAACTTGTTGAACGAAATACCTGACATCAGTGAAGAGGCCTGTTTTCGGCGAATTCATTTATCCCTTGTTAACTGTACAGTTGCATTTGTAATACAAAAGTGATGATTAGTCACAAACATAGCCGTTTATTTAACGAGTTGATCACGCATGGATTGATATCAGTTAGAGAAGGATTGAAAACCAACCACAGGGAATACTGGACAGCTGTTTCATCAAACTAGTTTGGGAATCATCGGCAGCACGCATCCACCACAACGGGTTCAAACCCAGGACACTCCGTTTACAAGGCCAGCAAGCTGGCTCGTATATCATTCAGCCACTCACCATGACCCGTTTAAATGGCCAGCCAGTCTATGAATTCCAACTTCAACCAATTCGTGATTTAGCGCGACTGGCACCAACCAATATCATCGGTGGGACATCCACCCTCACACTTGACTACTGGTTGGACCTCACCGGTCACAACTTCTCACTAGAACTGACTGACTCCAGGAAACTCCATCCTGTAGCAAGTCACTAGCGAGAATCAGATTAATTTTTTGGTATACGAGCTTTCCTTGTAACCGGAAGGTCCTGGTTTCGAACCCCAGCAGTGGGTGCACACTGCCGATGATTCACAAGCTAGGCTGATTAAACAGCTGGCTGTCCAGTACTCTCTGCAATGCTGGTTTCCGATGTTTCTCTAACTGATATCAATCCGTGCGTGGTCAAACTCGTAAAAACGAAATTAACCCTTACAAACCAAACTATAGAAGATATTATTCAAGGCATAAAAGGAATTGAATACGTTCATCAGAGTTGCGTAATGGGATGAAGTACCTAGATTAGACTAGCTGGCCACTTCAAATTGTATCTACCAATTCAACTGCGCTTGTGGAGCGAGTTATATTGGCCGTTGTTCTAGGAACTTGATTTTTTGTGCTCGAGAACATATCCCACTATGGCGAAGTAAAGGTGTAGTTAAAACTATTGACAGCTCGATATTAGACAATCTGGTGCAAACCGGCCGGTCACAAAGCCAGAGTAGAAGAATCCTTCTCTATCATCATCTACCGGGTGCCTAACAAACTACCAAAATCGTCGAAGCACCGCATGCTCCAAACAGCAGAGGCTATTGCAATTCGCCTCAAACAACCAGTGCTCTGTGTGCAAAAGAAGCGAGTCCATTCAGCTGGCCACTACTTCTGCCCTGGCTGGCCCTCAGTATAGACTATAAATTCATGAATTTGTGATATTACCTTTTTTAATTCTTCTGACATTCAGCTTATTTTATGTTGATGCTGTTCAGCTGTAATCTATCAATATTATTGATTCGATGTTATTTAAACAGCAACATTAGTGTTGTTCATAAGACTAATTTATTCATTCATATTATAATGTATATATAATTGTAGAACCTGATGATGAATTTATGGAAAAGAGTACTCTTTATCCTGTGTCGATTCTTTTGAAGATATGGAATTATCAAAAGAGTTCTGAAGAAATACAAGTGTTGTAAGGAGTTTTAAAAAAATGTCAAGTCAGTAGAAGTCAACACGGTTTGCTTGATAAAGTTTGTTTTGATAAAGTCTCATAGTGTCATCCAGTGTTATATATTTACTGATGACCACGTTTCGAGCACAATTTATTGCCACTCATAATCATATCAAGTCACCCACTCACACAAGTTTCTTACTTCGTTTCTATAATTCCATCACTATTTTTCATCGCTTGATTTGATTGGTAGTAGTGGCATTCTCCATATTTCCTGTCTGAGTGATGAGTCATTCCTATTACATGTGTTGGGTGTAGACTCGATTAACCAGCCAGGATTCAGTAATCAATCTCTCTCTCTCCACCTAACTAGATTACTTTTTAGAATTTAAACCCTCTTCCACCCACCATGCTATTGTGTGGTTGTGTGTTAGTGCGTGCAGTGCAATGTAGTGCTGATTATTATTATTATTGTTCCCTTGGGTTCCTAGTGGAACATAGGGCTTCAACTGCACGTCTCCACTTGCTGCTTCTGTCTTCTGCTGTACGTTTCACTTGCGTCCATGTTAGTCCATACTGTTCCATATCCTCTTCACACGATCTCCTCCATGTCACCCTCACGATAACGTTGCACTCGCCGCTTCCCATTCGGGTTCCACTCGAGGGCCTGACGCACGATGTCACTCAACGGCCTCCTCAGCGAGTGTCCAATCCATCTCCACTTCCTCCTGCATATTTGTTGGGCGATTGGTTCCTGTTTCGTTTGTTCCCATAGCTTCTTGTTTGTGATTCTTTCCGGCCATCTAATCTTCAGTATGGAGCGAAGACAGTTGTTGATAAAGGTCTGCAACCTTTTGAAAATATTCTTGGTGACCCGCCACGTTTCTGATCCGTAAAGCAAAATTGACTTCACGTTTGTATTGAAAATCCGAATTTTGTTGTTGATGGTGAGTGACGAAGATTTCCAGATTGGTTTCAGGTTGATGAATGTGTTTCTCGCCTTCCCGATTCTCGATTTGACATCCTCGTCCGTTCCTCCTGTGGTTAATGTAGTGCTGAGCTGTCTTCTAAATTATTTGTCTTCTCGGGTGCGGTCAACCATTCTTGCCTTAGCTAAATTCTTATGTTCCCACAATCTGATTACCCCTGACCTACTAGCTTAACTGACCTATGTGGTTGACCTAAGTCACAGTCATTGCAGGGTATTTTCTAAATTATTTGTGACAGCCATGTAAAAATCAACAAAATGGATGCACAAATTCAGTTCGAA